TGGGCCCCGCCTCTGGAGGGTGTCCCAGCGCTGGTTGCCCTCGTGGACCATCTGCTTCAGCTTGCTGGCTGTGTCCGTGCGGTTCTCCCGGGCCAGCCGCCGGTACTGCTTGTTGATGAGCTCCAGCTGGGTGAGCCACTCGTGGATCTGCCGCTGAAAGGCCTGCAGCACACACAGGAGGGCCAGTGCCAAGGCATGCAGAGTGCCAGGACACCCCCCGCCAGGCCCCAGATTCCCGGCTTCAAGTGCTTAATCCCCAAACTGCGATGGCCACAGAGGGCCCCTTCACCAGTTCTCCCGGTGCTGGTCAAAGAGCGGGCTTTTGCGCTCCCTGCACAGCAGCTGGCACAAGCTGGGAATGTCTCACAAAGCTGTCCCAGCAGCTGGGGAGAGGCGTGGGGGTAGGGGACAGTGGACTGTGTGACCTCACCACCGTGGGGCGAGGCCGGCCCCTGGGAGGAGGTCTTCTGCAGTTTCTAAGCCAGCTACAGGCTTGGTTCATCTTGGGAGAACTGGGACGGAGAAAAGTGTTTACCTCAAATCGCTTCAGCTCCTCCTTGGCATTTGTGTACAACACCTCTGAGGAATTGGGGCAGGCTGCCGTCCTCTCAGCTGACTTGAGCCAGTCTTCAAAGCGGGAATAATCATCTAGAAACTTCTGCCACAGGCGCCAGGTCTCCTCAATTCTGATGGAAGGAAGACAACTTAGCACAGCCACCCATCCGACCCTCTGCTGTAGATGGAGCCCACCCCCTCCACTGGTCCCACTCCCAGCCCCGTACGCATGCCCTGTGCGGCGGGGGAACCCTGGTACCCCTCTGGGAAATAACCAGGACACTGCTTTTTCTCATGCACCTCCCTTCTGGGAGGGCCGAGCACCTGAGTTCCTGCTTCACAGAGGTTCAAAACCAGGAGACAGGGCTGTGTCCACTACTAGGCTGCTACTGAATGGGAGGAAAGCGGTCATCCTGTGGCCACACCCTGAGGCACAGGGCATCGGGGAAAGGCATTCCCCCATTGCACTGCTCTTGAATAATTCCGTTAGTAAGCGCTGGTCACACTGACTGGGCCCTCTTTGCCTACACCTGGCATACTTTTGGGTGAGGTGAACAGAACGGTTGGTGTTACTGGGCCGACCACCTTTAAGACATGTGGGGACAGCTCAGCTCTTACTTCATGCGCCGCTCCATGGACATGGCACAGATGTTCCTCCAGCGTCTGTCCAGGCTTCTGGTGGTCTGCTGGATGGAGTCACACTCGGTCTCGTTGGCACAGGCATCTGAGTCGTGCAACAGGACGTCGCAGATGTTAAACACAGACTCCACCCCAGCACTGTGCTGTTCGATATCTCGCTGCAGGTCCTACGATTACAACGGAGGAAGAAAGTCTGTGAGATGGCGGTGGTGGGAGGGTCGGCATCAACAGATCGCCCCCTCTCCTCTCCCAGCCCAGGGGAGCAGCCCTGGGTGAGGCCCGCCGTGGGCTCAGAGGCACATCTCCGTGCCGCCCTTGTGCTGCCCACACCGGACACTGGCAGCCTGTGGGACTGACGTGCTCAGCTACGTGACAAGGTGAGAGTGGGGCAGACGCCCTCTGCACACTGACAGTGGCACTGCTGCCCCGCTGCGAGCCACCACCCCATAGACCTTGGGTATGCCTGGGGTCTATTTTATCCACTCAACTCCAAGGCCTCCAGTATAGACCGTGGCTTCAGGGAAGCCTTCTTTAGAAATCGTGTCTCTGCAGCAGGAACTATAACTTAAATAACAAAAACTCTTAACCTTTTATGGGTCACAAAACTCTCCCATCTATTAAGACATTAGTGCAGTCTTTTTATACACATACACACGTTCACAGCCTCCCCAGCCCAGCCAAGGGCTCCATGGCCCAGTGGAATAATGCTGGCGGTAGAGACCTCAGCCCTCAGCTGATGGGGGCCGGGGGGGCCCCCCCAAAGCCTGTGGCTTGGGGAGGAGACAGTCTCTCTGAAATTCTGTCCTGTAATGGCAGTGATGCGCTTCTCCAACTTGGTAAAAAGACGACTACAAACAGAAAATTCGTGGCCATAGGGAAAATAGGAACGCTTCTTTAGGAACAAACAGATTGTCAGTGGTCATCAGAGAGTATTTTCTTCCCAGACCACGGGTGGGTTGGGAGGAGGAAGGAGACAAGGAATGGACAAGGAGCGGTTTGTTTTGCCGTCTGGGTGATGCAGGCTTCCTCTGACACCCACATTCTGTAGTAAGTGACTGAGAGCACGGCACTGATTTTCCCACTAAATTACGTGGCAAAAGAGTAAAGACGAAGTCCTGCTTTCCTTGTGATAACATACCGATTTGGGAAATTTACAATACTTCACAACACTTTAAATAAGCCGCTACTAATATACTAAATAGAGTTCTCTGGATTCGCTGAAGCTTGGTTTACAAGAGGATTATTTTATAAACAGTGCCTGCCACTGTCTATGGGATGGCAGTATAAGGTTCCCTCCAGGTCATAGCTAAATGCTTTGAGACACTACCATGTCACTAGATAGGATTAACAGTTTCTCCTGACAAACGCACGATTTGGACCGTTCTGTGTGCAGGTGGGTATGAGAAAATAAAATGCTAACATTCCCACCAAACTGTACTTTTTCATTCATTTATTTTTTAATTTTGACAGAGTATGTGTACTTGCCTGAGAGAGACAGAGAGAGAGGGAGGAAGCACACCTCAACAGGGTGTGGTCACGCCACCATCCCTCCTCCTTCCTCTCTGCTTCCTTTGTGGATCTGCGAATGCACACACACGTGTCTGCTGCATTATTATTGTTCTTTCCAAGCTGTTGGGTCTGGGACTTGAACTGTACGACTGGCCATGTGGGATGTAGTTCCTTTAATAAACCACCAGGCCATGGGCCACCCACCCCAACTGAACTCTTTTTTAAAGAGTTATTTATTTAATTTATTTATTATCATCATTCTTCAGTTTGATCAGAGAGAGACAGACAGACAGAGAGAGAGAGAGGAGAGAGAGAAAGCAAGCCACCTGATGCAGGACTTGAATTTGGTTGGCTATGTGGGAGTCCAGTGCCTTAGCCACCATGCCTCTCACTGGCCTCCCAATTGAATTTTTTTTTTTGAAAAGTTTTTTTGCTATAGGGCACGTGCGCTCGTCAGAAAGACAGAGAGAGACAGAGAGACAGAAAGTGAGAAATCACCCCCTAGGGGGAATGGCCACGCCACAATCCCTTCTCCTCTATTCTCCTCTCGGGATCTTGGGCACCCACGCACACGTGCCTGGCGTGAGTTTAAGCCACCGGGTCTGGGACGTGAACCACGATCGACTACATGGGAGTTCAGCGACATAGCCATTAGGCTCAACTGCTGGTCCCCCAATTGAATTTTAAATCAGGAAGCTCCTAACACAAATCCTGAGTAAAAATGTAGGTACCATAAAGTTATTCACAGGAAATGTGTTTTCCACTTGGTCACACTACATGCTCTGTGAGGGAGATGTGCAGGGCGACTTTTGTAAGCTCTGCAGCTTAGGCAGAATTCCTGAAATGGTTGGAGTGTCCCTGGAGTTAATTTGAGGAATAGATTTAAAATTATTACATTAAATAAAATTCTAGTTTGAAGAATTCTTACTGTTCACAGAACTGTCTCTGGCTTTTCTAAAATTTAGTAGTATTGATATATACTCCACTTAACTATTCAAGTAATGAATTAGGAACCCTAACACTGGTGCTAAATGACTAATACTGACAATTTTCATTGAAAAGTGCCCACGACCTCATCTGGCAGTTGGTGAAGACCTAGTGGAAAATCACAGAGAAAGTCTATGGATAAATGTGAATGTCATGTATTTTAATAGACTCTTTACAGCTTTGTAATTTATTCTGCTTATATTGAATAAAATGGCTAAAGAAAACTGATTAATATACAGAGTAAACAGCAGTAAGAAATGAGCTCCACAGTAACTTATAAAAGACCATCTGTATCTTGGTTAGGAAAAAGTCCAAACAGACCCTGACACTCACTGTGGCCCAGGTGGTAGGGCGCTGTTGTGGAATGACAGAGCCACATGGGAGGCCTGGGTTCGGATTCCAGACTGACCTGGATACACTGGACACGGCAATGCACCTGTGACCCAGGCTGGCTGGGGGGGCTGGGATGGAGGGATTGTGTCATGAGACTCTGTCATGGATGCCTGTCTCTCTCTCTTATAAAAATGAATTCACTTAAAAAAAAAAAAAAAAGCCCAAACATTAAAAATTTCCAAATAACCCCTCCTCCTAAAACACCACAGAATAGCCAACTAATGTAGTATGAACTGGTTACCTTGTACAATATAAAACAGAATACTGGGCCTCATTATTTTTTTAAGAATTATTTTTTATTTCATTTTATTTATTATTATTTTTATTTTCCAGTTTGATCAGAGAAAGAGATAAGCCATGTGGGAGTCTAGGGTCTTTAATCACCACACCACCAGCTGGTCCCCCTGGACCTTATTTTAAAAGGCAAACCATTGGGACCAGCAGTTGGTGTAATGGCTGTGTCACTGGACTCCCATGTAGTCGACAGTGGTTCGAGTCCTGGACCCAGTGGCTTAAACTCACGCCAGGCGCGTGTGCGTGCATGCCCAAGATCCCGAGAGGAGAAGGAATTGGAGTGTGGCCATTCCCCTGGGGGGTGATTTTTCGCTTTTTGTCTCTCTGTCTGTCTTTCTGGTGAGCGCACGTGCCCTATAGAAAAAAAACTCTTAAAAAATAAAAAGTAAATAAATAAAAGGCAAGCTACTGAAGTGCTAGACGACTAACATTTTATAAACTGACAGAAGCCTACTACTAGTCCCCACAGAGGCTGAGTCTGTACAGTAGATTTCAGAAATGGTTCAAATCAGAGAACTGGATTTAAGGAACAACAGAAAATGCAAAAGACTTTTGAAACGGTTCTGGAGATGCTCCTGCGTGTTTGGTTTTTCTGTCTGGAAGAAGGTGACACAGAGCACTGAGATGGGGAAGAACAGAGGAGGAAGTGGCAAAGCAGCAGGCAGCAGAGGAGATGGGGAGGTGGAAAATGGGAGAAGAGAACACGGCTGGGAAGAATGAGAAGATAGAACCAGGAAAATAAGATAAAGGGAGAAGAGAAGACTAGTGGGCTTAGGGGACAGAAAATCACATAGGGTGGGGACCAGCAGTTAGTGTAATGGCTATGTGGCTGGACTCCCATGTAGTTGACCGTGGTTCGAGTCCCGGATCTGGTAGCTTAAAACTCAGACCAGGCGCGTGTGCGTGTGTGCCCAAGATTTTGAGAAGAGAATGGAGGAGAAGGGATTGCAGCATGGCCATCCCCCCTAAGGAGTGATTTCTCGCTTTCTGTCTGTCTGGCGAGCGCACGCGTCCTATAGCAAAAACCTCTCCAAAAAAAAGAAAATCACATAGGGTGGCCATTGGTGGGGGCTCGGAAAGTTTCTGTGGGAGAGGCTTGGGTAGCAGGGTGGTATTGGGGGTGGTCTAGAAAGTTTTGGGTGAAGGTGAATTGGCCCACAGGGGAAGGGGCTACTGGTAATTCCCACAGGGGCAGGGGCTACAGAATAGGAGGAAAACTAACAATTAGCCCAGCCACCATCCAGCAACCCACAAGAAACCAAAAAACAAACAAGATGCAGAAGACATCATGAAAGTGGCTAGTCAGTCTTTTTCTTTCTTTCTTTCTTTCTTTTCTTTTCTTCTTTCTTTCTTTCTTTCTTTCTTTCTTTCTTTCTTTCTTTCTTTCTTTCTTTCTTTCTTTTCTTCCTTCCTTCTTTCCTTCCTTCCTTCCTTCCTTCCTTCCTTCCTTCCTTCCTTCCTTCCTTCCTTCCTTTTTTAGGGCACACACACTCACTGGAGAGATGTAGAGGGAGGGAAAGTAAGAAATCACTCCCAGCAGAGATGGCCATCCTCCTCCATCCTCCTCTGGGGATTTTGGGGCCCCACAGACACACAGGTCCAGCATAATTTTCGAGCCACTGGTCTGGGACTCAAACCCCAGTTGGCAGCATGCGAGTCCAGTGCCTTAACCACAACCTCTGGCCCTAAATGTGGGTAATAATTTAAAAGTTTTACAAAGTTGCCCCCACTCTCTTTGCATCTGTTTTGTTTTTGTTTCCCTTTGCAATTTGCCAGAGGGCATGTGTGCTCCCCAGAGACACAGAGTGAAAGTAAGAGCGGGCTAGAGCGAACACACGTGTGTGAGACAGCCAGAAAACACCTCCTATGGGGCACGGTCACTTTGCGATCCCTCCTCCATCTCTCGCCTGTCAGGATCCTGAGCACGCACACATCCCTGCCCAGGGGGCTTTTTGGAGAGTTTTTTTTTTTTTTTTTGCTATAGGGCGTGTGCGCTCACCAGACAGACAGAGAGAGACAGAAAGCGAGAAATCACCCCCCAGGGGGGATGGCCCGCCACGCTGCAATCCCTTCTCCTCCATTCTCCTCTCGGGATCTTGGGCACGCGCCCGGCGTGATTTAAGCCACGACTAAGTGGGAGCCCAGCGACATAGCCATTACGCTAACTGCTGGTCCCCCCAGGGGGCTTTTTAACCCCTGGGGGCTGAGATTTGCACCGAGGTTGGCTATGCAGAGTCTGGCTACGGGACTGGCCCCAGAGCCCTGCAACTATTGAGAGGCTTCCTAAGCTACCGTCCAAGCATGTTCTTTATCTCACTTTTCTTTTAGTTAAACAAAATTTACATAAGTTCTATCAAACACACAGATTACGATGTCATGCAAACCTTCCTTGGTTAGAAAAGTTATTTTCCTTTCAATTCACTGCCTTCTAAAACCATATTAACAAAATGCAATAAAAAGTTTTTTTTAAAAAAGGACAAAATTTTAAAACCTCAGTTACCACCAAGATTAAGATGTGCATCTTAAACATTATTGAAAGTAGCACCCGGCAAGCTATACGAATATTGGAGGGAGGCACTCGTGAGATGGACGACCCACACGTCCGAGAACATGGGCTAACAATGCTATGGGATGTGAGGGCACTGACACGCACGGCCGCGACAGAGGGCCCGCGGGAGCAGGCATCGGAGACACCATCCTCTTACACGCCCACCTGCTGCTCGGCCAGCCTCTTCTGGATCTCTTGATCATCACAGACGTCATAGACAACTGGCTTAGAGAGCTCAGACTCGATTCGAGCCAACCAGGTGCGAAGGTTGCTCATGTTTTTGTCCAACTGCTGAATAAAAGCAAAGGTCTCCTTCAGCTTCTTCACCCTAAATGTTTGCAGAAAAAGCAGAGAGAGATGGAAAACAAAAGCTTAACATCAGTAGTGAGAAGGATGTGCCAATGGGCTAGAGGGTAAAAGGACATCTATTCTATAATATGTTGCTTTGATTTTCTAGAAGGAACAACTCTTGTAGCACCCAAAATGAGTTTTCACAGAATATGTAACACTCCTCGAAACTGTTCCTTTGGTGGATTTTCAAAGGGACTAAGAGTTAACTATACCCATGCAAATATGGAAATCCTATCCCAGACTGGGATCCCCTAAAATCCAGTCCATCTTCCCGGCCTCCAAGGGCGAAAGAAGATGCCATTTCTAAGTAAAAATAACCACTCTTGACTTCTGTCCAGTTTCTGTCTTGGGTACAGGACATTACAGCAGCCGGGGATCTACACTGACCAATAAAAGATGTTATCCACCTGGTTTACTTGATATTTGGCCTGTGAAGCCTCTCATGGGCTCATGGGACCCTCCTTTATTTATTCATTCATTCATTCGTGTATGCTTTCATTCATTCATTTATGACAGAGAACAAGAATGAGGTGGGGGGATACCTTGATAGGGTACAATCCCCTTCCCCAGCCCTCCAGCCTGTCAGCTCGGGCATGCATGTCCACTCAGCATGTTTTAGGTGGATCAAGTCAGGGATCCAAACCTGCAGTTGGTCAAGTGTCCTCCAGCACAGCGGTCCAGCCTGCTGTAGCTACACACCAAGGCTGGGCCAGATCCTCTCTTCAAGTACACACAGAACATGCCAGACTCTGCCACCTCAATCTAAGCGGGTGAGGATGTCCTACACATCAATTCAGCTCATGTGGGTATATTACAGGGCATCTGTCAGTCAGAAAGAGAAAGGGTGGGGCCCGCAGGTGGTGTGGTGGTTAAGGCACTGGATTCCCACATGGCTGACCACAGTTCGAGTCCTGGACCTGGTGGCCTGAAAATCATGCCAGGTGCATGTGTGTGCATGCCCCCAAAAAATTCCAAGAAGGGACTGCAGCATGACAAGCCCCTCTGGAGGATGATTTCTCATTGCCTCTCTCTCTGGAGCAAGCACACGTGTCCTATCGCAAAAACCTAAAAAAAGGCGGCAGGAGGGGGAGGGCAAAGGTCATTTGCATGCAAGCACAGTTCTGACTGCCGTCCACCTCTCCAATCTGCACCAGCTCTCACCCAGCTTGACTGGGTGTGGAGCACATTTGGAAGTCCACACAGACCCTCCGTGTGCCCCTGTGCTTGCTGACACGGCATCTTGCTGTCAAGGGGCAGAGATGTAGCTGCTGAGCGAGAACCACCACTCACAAATACATACTAAGTAAGGTGCTTCAGTACACTGCTTTCTTGAAAGTAGAGTTGAGTGCGGGTTTGTCCTGGTGATGTGGGGAATTTTCAGTTAATCCCAGAGTTTAAAGTAACGGCTACAATGGAAAGTTCCCACTTAGCAGTACTCATGCTGGGAGGTGCTGTCAGAACTGCGTCCATAGCTGAGGACACTGGGAAGATCAACTTGGCCCTGATCCCAACACGCAGAGACACACCACACTCCACGCCAGCACCGTCTCTGACTTGATGAGCAGCTTCTCCCAGCCTCCTGCCCTCCCATCCCCCTTCAGTGGAGTAGCGGAAGTGTTCATTCTAGAAAGCACATCTGTCTCATGCTCAAAACCCTTCCACAGTTTTCGCCCCACCCTGACAAACCAGATCAGCTCCTCGATCTTTTCTGTACCTCAAGCATTCAGTGGCCTCTCTGCCTCTAACCCTGTACTTTGCAAAGAAGTCCCTTTCTTTCTGGAGCTTCTACCCACACTGACTGAGACAGGCTAGGCACGCTTCCCCACGTGCTCTCACAGCACCTGGGTGCCCTCCGCACGCCCTCACTCTGTGCTGTGTCTGTCTCAGACACTGTGCACCCACCAGGACAGAGGTGGCAATGGCCAGGGCACTGCGGGCTTGCTTCCTCTGCAGTGTTGACAAATGTTTGTTGAATGAATAAATGTGGATAAGCACTTCCACTACAATCTATGATTTACGCAAGCCAGGGGGAATATGAGCGTATCTTCTCTCTTATGGCTGACCCAGTCAACCCAAGGAGCTGACTTCCAGCTCCTACTCTGTAACCAGCTGCTTTAAGAGCTGCATCCTTTATCTCAGCACCTCACGTCCAGGAGGCATCTGAGGTTTCTGGGAGGAGGCAGCATCCAGGAGAGCTCAAGGCCACAGCTGCCACAGGAGCTATGCACGCAGCCTTCCGACTCCATTCCTCACCGCCTGTGATGGGACCCACCTTGCCGGTGGGTCTAAGATCAAAACAAGTGGATGCACACAACACCCACCGGCATACGGTCAACACGCAGTGATACCAACTCTTGTCATGCCACCGTCATTCACAGGGCAGCTAAGGGGACTGGCTGAGAGAACCCACGAGAGGCGGTCGGCACAACGTCTCACACTGGTAACAACCAGCCACTCTGGTCCTGACGAGCTCTAAGGAGGTGTATTCTCCAAATTACGTTCTTACCACAAACGCCACAAGAAGAAGTTCCCTTCAAAGCCACAAGATGATTTATTAAAAAGGCAGAAACAGAATCCGCGGCCAGTGCTGGATACAGTTGTAATCTAGATCCCTCCTTCACTCCCATGGCTTTAGAGGTACACCCTCTTTTTTTGTGGGGGGGAGAGGTTTTCACTGTAGGGTGCATACGCTCGCCAGAAAGACAGAGACAGAGAGATAGAAAGCGAGAAATCACCCCCCAGGGGGGATGGCCACGCTGCAATCCCTTCTCCTCCATTCTCCTCTTGGGATCTTGGGCACACACGCACATGCGCCCAGCATGAGTTTAAGCTGCTGGGTCCAGGACTTGAACCATGGTCAACTACATGGGAGTCCAGCGACAAAGCCATTACACTAACTGCTGTTCCCAAGGTACACTCTCTCTCTCTTTTTTTTTTAAATTATTTAATTTTATTTGTTGTTATTATTAATTTGACTAGAGAGAGAGAGAGAAGGAGAGAGAGAAGGAAGGTGAGAAAGTAAGCCACCAGGTCTACGACTTGAACTGCAGTCAGTCATGTGGGAGTCCAGCACCTTAACCACCAGGCCACCTTCTGGTCCCGAGGCACCCCCTCTCCACCCCAGTATCTTGCCACTCTTACTGTTCAGGGAACCGAAAGAACCACCAGACTGCCAGGTCAGCTGGGAGCCCTGGGACCATGGAACAAGGATTCTCCAGAAGGTTTGCAAAGGTTGTCTTCCTGGAAGGCTCTGGCTGGAGGACAGGCCAGAGGGCGAGCTTCCTATGGCTGTGGAGAACTCAGCCCAGCGCCTTCCTCACTGCTCTCCTGCCACCTCCCTCAGCACAGCAGCCCCCTCCTCACCTTCAGCCCCACCTCATCCTGTAGGCTGTGAGAATCTCTCTCACCAGAAGCCTGTTTCTTATTTTACAAAGAGAGCCTGAATGCAAGTTTTTAAATGAAGAACAATAAAGAGCACCAAAATAACCTGGATGGAAACATGTGAGGACGCAGCAATCTTGATTTCTGTGAACGCAGGGGCCAGGCATGTGATAAGCGGGAAACTACAAGGGAGGTGTGGATAACTGGTTTCTCTAGGACTGTGGTGTCCAAGCCAGGTGCTCAGGACCAGAGGGATGTGTATCATATTGTTAACCTGTGCCTTTTACATTTCTACATTAAGGATGCTTCATAATTCATAAGGTTATTCCTCAAGTGGAACATCTGTATAACAAGCTGACATCCACCCGTTAGCAACTCATTTAATCCTCATGACAGTCTATGCGATGGGTACTATTACGATCTCCATTCAACAGACGGGGAAGTTGAGGGAGAGATGAAATAACTCGCCCAGGTCACGTAGTCAATAAATAGCGGAGGCAGGATTCCAACCTGGGCAGTCTGATCCAGAGCGGCTGCTCCTAACCACCATCCCTGTGGCCTCTCACATGACCTGGCGTACACGGATGTGCACATAGTGGCGATAGAGGAGGGTTCTCAGTGCTATCAGGGAACATGATTGGGAGTCTGGCCCCAGGACGCACTGCAAGGAGCGGGTGCACTGGGGGTTGCACATCGGTGCTCTCAGCTGGTTGAGGGGAGGCAGTCCGACGCCTCAGACAGGCTCCGTATACTTCCCTCCCATGATTTTCCATCAATACACGTTTAACTACCTACTCTGTCGTGGGTCCTGCATGGGTCCAAGAAGTGAGAAAGAAATGGAAGATGGGCCTCATGATCAAAAGCCTCATCATCTAATATAGACATTATAATACAACACAGAGATGTTCAATAAATACCTATTAAATGATGTCCACTCATACTTTCCAATTTGTCGTTTTCCTAAGAGGTGGCCACATGTTCTCTTAAGGAAAGGAGGCAGAGATCAGAACACGCCAGGGCCCGTTAGCTACAAAACAAATGCCCGTACGACGGGCTCTCCGAAACCCTGGTTCTCAAGTGAAGCACTGACAAACTAGCGTACGAATCAGACACACACTCAGGGCAAATGAAGGGAGAGCACACAGTAGGGCAGGGGAAAAAGCAAAAGGTCACCATGAAACTGCAAAACAGTCATCCAGCCTGGAGTTAACCTGTTTCTATGTCCCAACCTTGGTCTAGAGGCATAATACCTCCAAATCGGTGTGAACACAAACACTGCTCCTTAGATAACCATGTTACAACTCAGAACCATGACAGGGACAGTGCAGCCAGTCTCGTTCTGTTCTGTGCAGACACCGTAATCTAATTATCACCTTTCCCAGGTCAGGGAGTTGGTATCCTTTGCCAACCGAGGCAACTGACCTCCTTGCCAGGCCTCGTTAATATTGCTCTTGGGAAAATTTAGATCTTGAGTATAAGTCAAGAAACAAGGAAATCTATTCAGGAACAGACTACTGGCACAGGGGAGCACCCACATACCGCATTACATCAACTGCCCGGGCGGTGTGTTTACACGGCGCTCGGCTCTGCACTTGC